ACCTCGGACTGTTCCTGGACTTTTGCTTGCTTGTGTCACGCCCCCTGGTCCTGCCGTGACACAAAGTCATTGCATTTGAGGAAGGGAACCAACTGCCTTATCAGCCGAAGATGGCTGCTACCTGGGCCTCCATCGTTAGAGAAGCGTCCAGGAGCACTCCCAAGCTCCTCACCCTCGACGCTGTCACCAATGGCGCCCCATCAAAGGACGGGAGTGAGATCCCTAACCACGGCCCGCCCCGACTTAGGCACAGGACCTCCATCTTCATCAGATTCAGTTTCAGCCGGCTCAGTCTAAGCTAGCCAACCACGGCCTGCAACGCCAGGTTCAGATCTCCTGGGTTAGAGTCTGACTAGCCGCCCAACAACAGATAGAGGAACTATATATATGGAACTATAAATATATATTTTTAATGCTTAGCCATCTACTTCCATGGGGGGGAGGAACTTTTCAGAATAAGCCAAAATAATTTCCCCTTAATTCCCATTATTCCGGATGCTCTTTTCTGCCCCCCTTCCTTTTCTAACATTAGTGTGTGTGAGAAAGAGGTCTCACAGTAAATGGCAGAACAGGCTTGTCAGAAGAATCTCCCCTCTCCCCCATATGCATACACAGGAATGCTTATACCTGGAATAAAACTTTGTTGGTCTTGTAGGTGCCATGGGACTCCCTCGCCAAACGAGAGGCTAGGCAACACAGCAGCAGCACCAGAGGAGGGAGCAGGAGGGAGCTTTTCTCTGCTGAGTGCATGTACGCTCTCTTTTTCCTCCCCCCTCGCTTTCCTAAAGTAGTAAGAGAGGCTAGGCATCGCAGCAGCCCCCCAGAGGAGAAAGCAGGAGGGAGCTTTCCCCCCCTTGCTGTGCACACATGCACTCTCTTTCTCCTTCCCCCTCATTTCCCTAAGGAGGAAGAAAGGCTTTGGCGATGCAGCAACAGTAAAGGCTGGGAAATGCAGGCACCTCCTCGTGGGCCATATACCAGCCTTGCAGGGGCCAGCTACAGCCCGTGGGCCACATGATTGACACCCCTGGTCTAGAATGTACTTCCTAAATGAAGAGTTCTTATTTTCTTTCAGACTGACAAGTGGCTCTGTGTAAGTCTGTAGTTTTACGAGCATACGCTGAACAAAGGAGCTCTGCTGCATTCTGAGCCTTTAGAGCACACTGTAAAATCTAGCAAGGGATCTGGACTAACATACCAGCTTTCCCAATACAATCAGTGCTCAGAAAGACTTTAGATTACTATTTCCTTTCTTTCTTTTGGGTAAAATCAATCAACTTGTATATCCATTTATGGTGGGTTTTTTACATCCTGAACATCTGCATGGATATGATGGTTTAAGATGAATAAGTAATCCTTCATATTGCACATTTTCAAAAAAAATTGGATATCCACATCTATAAAAGCAACTTTTAAAACTATACATTAAAAACTACACTATTCTGTTGAACCAATTTCACAGGTAAAATAGTATAGCGCCGTCTTTTCATCACTCCTTCTAAAGCTCAAAAGCTACTGTTCTATTATACAGACAGATGTTGGCCCCTGCCTTGCCTCAAATAGCATCTTCACCTGCTTTGGTTGAGAACCCCAAGCAGTAACCAGACAAAATACCACTGAGGAATATTTCAAAATTACACATAACCAGTTATTCCATCATTCTGTTTTGACAGAATTATGCCATGGAACATTTAATACAGTGTTTGAGACATAACTCTGCTAAAGTATATGTAGTTTTTAAAACCATGCACTCAATTTTACCATGAAAACATGTAGCCAGTTTTTGCCACTGTGCTTTTCCACAGCCCCATCCTAGACACGTTTATTCAGAATTTTCCTCGTGCCCTGTGTGTCTTCCTCATATGTCTGCATAGGGTTATAACTTCAGGGTACTTCATAGATCTACAGTAATTTACAATATTATTGGGGATGAATGTCATCTAATTTCTCTATGTAAATCTAGTTTCTAAAAATTCCATATTTTGATTATTCAATAGCATCATTAAACCATAACTTCACAGTGATCGGATTCCAGGGTGGCAATACAGTGGATGAATGAATATTTGCACATGCCATTTTTTTCAAGTGATGATAATTATTAAGTAGTAGGATTACAATAGAATGGGTGGCAGGGTAATCGAAATCTCTTTCCAGGGAAATGTGGAACAGCCCACAGCTTTGAAAAACTGAAGGCCAGACATACTGCACACCGTTATGTTCTTTGCTGGTACTTGTCTTACATCACAGAGTTTATACAAGAGATTCTATTAAAAATGATCTGACAGTCCTCAGCATGTACATTCATGCTTGTACTCTTTCCCAACTTCTGTTTTGTGTGTGTTTTTTTTAATTGGTTGTGGCACAAGAGGCCACTATTGAGTTGCTAATGGGATACTCATCAGATGTGATGCAAGGATTATTAGCCTTAGATGTCAGGGAGGGACCATACTATAAGTTGTTCAGTGCAATTATACCTGTCTTTCATCACATACAGGTCATGCACAAAATGAAAATGTAGAAGGTTTCCAAAAAAACCCTTTTCTTCCCCCACTTCCCATCTTAGTTTCTATTGCATTCTGTGCCATATCTGTGGGAAATATTACCTGGATGTGGTAAGCCTTATTTTCAAATTTGTGGTCTCAGCACTCAAACAGTTTTCCAACCACTGCTAACAAAGCTCAAACTCTCTTGAGACACAAAGCCTGAGCCATTATCTTAACCAGTTAATAAGGAAGAGTCAGAAAGACTCTCAGGTCCTGTGCACACGAGATGTTTTGGCTGGGAGAGGGACGGATCGGGGCCGCAGCAAACGGGCGCGATCCAAAAGCAACATCTGGGAATCGTGCTGCGTCTGTTCCCAATCCGCCCCTCCCGGCCAAACCCCGCAACAAAAAAAGAACCACCTACATCACTGCCAGCCGTGGGATCGCGGGCGCGTCTTTTCACCGGCGCATCTCCAGCCCCCGGCCGTACTGCGCATGCTTGAGCATGCGCAGTTCGGCAGCCTCCCCCTCCCAATCGTCTCTTCCTCCCCGGCATCTGATCGTGCCGGGGAGCAACGGCGCCGCGGCTCAGGGAATCGTGGGATCCCGCCGCGGCGTCTCTTTTTTGGTGCGGCTTTTAAAAGCCTCACTTTGGCCAGTGTTTTGCCTGCCGTGTGGCAGGGGCCTCATACTCCTAATAAGGACCATTCCTAGGCATGTTACACCACAGGAAACCTCTAAAGTAGCAAACAATAGCCTTAAGAGATCTACTACTCACCTTCCCCCGGTAATGCCAATATCGATCTTGTGCGGCTTTGCTTCCCTTCTGCATTTTTACTGGAGCATGAGTGAGAACAGGACGACCACTGTGACCACTCCGTTACAACACAGTCCATTCCACATGGCACCTCACAAGTTGTTGTTCCAGAAGGAGAAGGAACCTCTGAACAAAAGTCATCTGATACATCCTCCCCTAAAATAGGCACAAAATGATGGGGGGGGAGACAGTTTAAAGTTAACAAGTTTTAACACGAATGTTGCAGTAGCCCTAAAGCAGTGATCCCATGGTATGGTATGGTGTTTACTGTGTGTTTCCTGGCACCCACCCTAAGCTCACTGCTGTCCCAGCCAACCATAATTCAATACTCAATTAATTCTACAATTTTGATTCAGTGCCATAGAAAAGTCTATGCTAACTTGGAAGAGCAGCACATTTACAGGTAATATATATTAGCGTTGTCATATCTCACTTTCTGCAGTTCTCTGGACACATGGACACAGATGCAAACTTCTAAAACAGGCAGAGAAATGGATGAGGACGAAGGGCAGGGGCAGAGCTGTCTGTCAGAGCCCCTGGAGAAATCAGTTCCCAATAACAATCATTCAGAAGAATTAAAGTTTATTGAGACATTGATAGGATCCAGACTCATAACGGTTCTTTGTTAGAACTGAGGTCAAGCGCACAAAGCAAGCAATTATATTGCAATTGAATAACACATTAGTGGCTCTTGGCCAATCGCGCCTAAGCTAATAAAGCCCACCTAACTAACGACATAGAATTACCAAGGCAAAGAGAATACCAAAAACAGTGTAGGTCTCAAGGTTACATAGCTATAGCAGACAGATAACAGCAGAGTGGCCAGAAACGAAAGTATACATTCTTGTTCTCTCCCCCCATGTCTCCATGACAACCAAGCCCAAGAATGGGTGCCAGGTTGACACTGTCCTTATATACCTGCTGGCTCCAACCCCTGCCAAAATACTGTGACACTGTGCATTGCACCTCACTGCCTCTTCCTCCTTCTGAGGGAGGAACAACCAGCCAGCATAGCGAATGAGGTGCTGCCCTGGAGCCCCCAAAAGGCTGCAAAACTTGGAAGGGGAGCCTAGCCAGGGCAGACCCAAAGCAAGAACTCATCCATGGGCCACATAACCTGAAGGCTAAGGCTGATGGATCACTTATCTCCCAACCAGGAAGGTGCCACAAGGTGCTCATTGGATCCGCATTTCCTATTGCCACACTAACCTGCCACTGCCACTGCCACTGCCAAGGTCAAGTCAAAGACCTTGTGCCCCACTGGACAACTTAAAGCCGCCCTTGCCACATACCCTCCATAATGTATCACTGCCCTTTTCAAATAAGTCTACCCCATTACCCTGGTACAGGTTGATCAGCTCAGCCCATATCCTCAGGACCTAATCCACCCACTATCACATTCTTTGATTTCCAGTTTGCCCTATGGTGGGCCCTGCCCAAGCATCTGGGATCCCCCATGCCGAACCACACACGACATGGCAATATCGCAGACCACACAATCTGTGCACCTGGCCACCCACTCCCAATGAGCCCCAGGCCAGCCTTTGCCTGTATCACCAGGCCCTTCACTTTCCCAAGGCCGAAACTGTTTCCACCACAGTGGATAATCAGAACACGAGGAGGAGGAGGACCCCCTCTCTTCTCAAACACCAGAGGGCCGAGGCAAGATCTATCAAATATTTTAGCTAAACAGACAAGCACAGGAAACGTAGTAGCTATGCAAAGTTAGAGCCGTGAGTTCTTTGTGGACAAGCAAAATTAGGCAAGAAATTATTTTTAGATAAGTAATCTTGGTAGAGATTCACTTCACATTTTCATAGCCTCACTGAATTCACAGTAGGGTTACCAACTCCGGTTTTGGACATCCTTGAAGATTTAAGAACACCGCCCGGAGAGGCAGGGTCCAGGGAGAGAACACTGCCGGACACAATGTCACAGGCTCCACCCTCCAGGGAAACTGACCCCTCCCATCCAGAGACCAGCTGCCACTCTGGGAGACCTCCAGGACCCACCCGGAGGCCGGCCACCCTAATTCACAGCCATACCAAACCATGAAGTCTAAATAGGTCTGAAGCCAATTAAATTTGGCGGCTTCCTTCAAAGACCCCCAAGAACTTGCTGGCACCACCTGCGGCCCAATGGGTCTCCTCCTGGCCCAGAATTCATGTTCTGGCTACAAATGATGACTCTTTGCCTCTCACAGAGGCCAGCAAATAACCACAGGACACCAATCTGTTACAAAGTGTTAAGGGACAAACACAAGTGACCTCCAACGCCCCCACCACTGAATGTGGGCACCGGCTCAAGAAAAGAGTGGGTCTCAAACCAGTACAGGCCCAGACCCAACACTTCCAGCACCCGCCTGTTAACTGCCCAAATTGAAACTTGGTCAAGGGGCTGGCATCACTGTGCCAAAACCATGCCCCCCCTTCAGAGCCACGAATCTCCCCAAATTAATGTCTTGTAATCACAGTGCCTACCTATTCTATCACTACAAGGCCCCACTACCAACTCACTCACCCCAAAAGGCCCCCCCCCAAGCTTCTCGGGGTGACAGCATGAAAAAGACCTGGAAGTGCATTGGGGTGGGCTGGGAAGCTTACTTACAGGGGAGTTTCCCAGTGGGCCACCACCCAGAAACCAGCAGAGCCAAGCCCCAGCAACTCTACTGGAGCCTCAGCCGCTGCTTGGCCTGTCCCCCTCATCCAAAATGGCTGCGTTGGCCCACAAACTGTCTCATTCTGCCCAGCATGCAGTTTGGGGGATGATACCAGTAATGTCAGCAGGGGCTCTCTGCTTGACCAGTTTCAGTGCCATTTTCACTTTCCAGTAGGGTCTCCAACCACAACATGGGAAATTCTTGGAAATTTATGGGTCACACCTGAGCAGGGCAGAGCTTGAGGAGGGGGCTCAGTGGGGATGGGATAAGACTCTAGGACTTCCACCCTCCCTTGACTCCATGGCTATGTAGCCTGGACATAATTGGTCATTCCAGGAGAACTCCAGGCCCCACCCAAAGGTTGGCAACCATACTTCCCAGCCTGCTCTTGTTGCATGCGTATGTATTGGTAGATCCCGATTTAAATTACCATACTAATTCCAATGTTTTGAACTACTTATGGTACAGGTCCCACCCAGAAGCATCCAAGCCCTTTTGCTGGCCCAAAACGTGCCCTTCTTGTACATGGAAAGAGTCTTCAGTGAATCAAACGATTTAAATTACCATACTGATTCCAATGTTTTGAACTACGTATGGTACAGGTCCCACCCAGAAGCATCCAAGCCCTTTTGCTGGGCCAAAATGTGCCCTTCTTGTACATGGAAAGCGTCTTCAGTGAATCAAAGGATCCCCTCCCCATGAGGGGAAGGCCATCTTTGGACCTGACCCTAAGGTGTGTATTCCGTGGGCAGGCCATGGCCTCCACCAACTCACTGCCCTGGAACTTTTTCAACCCCTGTTCTGAGCATAGGGTTGCCAGCCTCCAGGCGGGGCCTGGGGATCGCCTGCTTTTACAACAGATCGCCAGCTGACAGATATCAGTTCCCCTGGAGAAAATGGCTGCTTTGAAGGGGGTACTCTATGGCACTGTACCATGCTGAGCCCCCTTCCCTCCCCAAACCCTGCCGTCTCCTGGATCCGCCCCCAAAGTCTCCAGGTATTTTCCAACCCAGACCTGGCAAACCTATCTGAGCACGCGGCAAAAGAGGAAGGGTGGGGGTGGGGGTGGAGCCATCCTTATACTGCTGCCAGCTCCAGCCCCCACCAAAATGCTGTGACACTGCACGTTGCAGATCGCTGCCTCTTTCTCCTTCTGAGGGAAGCAAAGCAGCCCCCGCTCAAGATCATCGTTGACACTCCCCTGGCTGTAGGAACCGAACTGTAGTTCTCTGGACACGAAGACACAGATTCAAACTTCCAAAACAGGCAGAGAAATGGACTGATTGTAGGTAGCAACCTCTTGAAGGATTCCCATGTTTGAACTCTGTAAAATGCTACCCATCCTGCTACAAATAATATCCTCCCTTGGAATGCTCCCCCCCAACCTGGATATTTTTGCAAAGCTTTCATTGTCTTTAATGAACCCAAGAGAGACCCTCAGCAGTAGCCAGTCATTTAAACACATGGTAAGAGAGGCAATGAAACTTGGAACTGGAGCTGTAGAAGGAGAACTCATCTCTTCGTTGGCAACAAGGCTCGTGTCTATCATGCGACAGCCTGGTATATAATTATAATGTGGAGGGTAAAGCTCTCTACTGCTTTTGCAAAGCAACGTGTCTATGCCAGCCTGCAAAGAAGAGAGACGGGCTGCCAGCAGAAGTGCTTAAAGCTGTCAATTGTGCAGCAGTAATTTCTGCATTTATATCCCTAAATGAGGACAGCCTCATAGTCCCCGAGGTACAAATAAAACTTTTCAAGCATATTACAGGGAGTAATAGAGAGAAGCAAGCAGGCAATCCTGCGACAATATATGTTTTCAAATATTTACTTTTTAATCCCCTCTTTCCAGGACTTGCCTCTGCCAACCAGACAAAGCTTAACTCTCCTGATCACCGTATTGTTATTCTAACCCAATGAATGATTAAGCAAAGTCGAAAATCCCTCTCCTACAGCAAAGCATCTCATCATGGATGAATATCAATCTATTTCTACAATGTGTTTGCCAGGATCCTCTCGCTGCACCTACCGCCTGCGCTTAATCATTCCTTCAGAATGGTCCGTTCCGGCAGTGGCACTCTGGCTGATCACATCAAGCTGACAGGTGGTTGTGGGGGTGGGGGTATGGAGGAAGATCTTAAACCATGCACCAATTATGTGCTTGCCTCTATAAGCCATTCTGGTTTTACAGTCCTCACAAGCATTTGACAGCCTGCCTATGTTGTGTTTGCTACTGTCGCTCTGGGTCAAGTTGGGGTTTGCAAGGAAAGGCTAAGACTACAAGATTTCAATACTTTAGACTAGCCCAAACAGCAAAAATCAATCCTGTTTCACCATTTCTATTCATAGGACGTCTACAGAGCATCAGTTCCTGTCAGGTTTTATGGTCTACCATAGACAACTGGGTACATGCAGAAGCCTTATTTCTTCCCTTCCTTTTTCAACCACAGTGGACTGAGTTACCCACATTTAATTCATGTCATTATCCATGTGGGTCTCA